ATGGCAAGAGAACATTTTGCAATGACATTCATTCCCCACCAAGTCAATTTGACGTGGCTGGAGACTATCTGCATCGCTGATATTCTGGCTAGGATGGGTACACTTTGAGAGCTGTTCCTCAAGAAAGAGTAGTGGGTGCACGTTTGGCTATCTGCGGTTGGCGAAAATCTCATCATGCAAAGTTTGAAATTGATTTCTATCTACCATCTGTCGGCTTCGGAAGGTTCTAAACCAATGACAGCCAGAGCAGCTACGCTCACCGGACATCGTCTTATATGTACATCGTGGTCTAATATAAACCATTGCGGTGAGAATCAGCCATCAATTAAGAGGCAAAATTTAAAGCCATTTCATTCACACCGCTGATCTAGATTATTTATCTCAAGCAGTATAATCTGTGGGTCAGTTTTTAAACTTTCGAAGATCTAGCCTTCAACGCATCCATGTTAAATTCTTCATTTTTGGTTTCGAGTCAGCAAATTTATTTGCCATGCGGAGTAGCAGCTGCAGTCAAGCGGTACAGTTAAACTTGAGTTATGCTATGCACATGAATATGTTTGTATGTTTGTATATTTGTATGTATATTTAATTATTTGTTATCGAAGTGTACGCACATATTTACATATATGTACATAAATATACGTTGCTATATCCTCGTGCAACTGCAGCAGACCAACAGCCAACTGCCAGCACCCAGCTTGTGATTTCAATATCTACGGTCATACTTTGAGCGCGCTTAGCACGCTTGATTAATCAAACATGAAAATTGTTAAGAAGCCGATGCTTGGTCGCTTGGCTGCTTGGCCGCATTGGCCCCAACTTGACTTCATTTAACTATCAAATTGTATGTACGTATGTATGTATAAAGTAGTGCGCATGTGTTTGTGTATTTAAAAATGCTAGCTACTTATATAGAATATACACAATTCTTGCAACTACCGTTTGAATAAAACCTGTGCAGCAATAGACAAATATGACGCGACTTATATAAATAGATAAATTAATACATATATATAAAAAACTATAAGAAATTCTTTCATACATATAAACATAAAAACTCGTATAGGGATGCCATTGATAAAATAAATTTTTACAATTCTATTCGATCGAATAAAGGCCGTGTCATCATTTTTGTTTGCGAGTAGAAAATTTCTTACAAGCCTAGGCAGAAATCGGTAGCACCGTACGAGTCTCCATGCATTTTTTTTTTATATTTCTAAATTAATAAAAATCTTCAGAACAAAATGCGTCCTAGTGGTGGTAAAATCTGTAATTTTCTTTATTTATTTACTTGCAAAAAAGAATAAACATTTGTGCTCATTCTATTCTTTAAATGCCTGGTCAGGACTTGGCTCCAACCCCGTCGGCGTACTAGCCTATAACACCTCGGCTACGCTCACTAAGATTCTGCACAAAAGTTACTTTTTGCGATGCCTACTTTTTCTACAAAATTGAATAAAAGTGGCAACTCTTTTCGTACACCAAAAATCTCGTCGCACTTGAGCAGCGTTAGCTCAGCGGTTCTAACATTGATACACATTTAGTGCATACTTACTTATAAATATATTTATATTTGTGTAAATATGCACATACAGATCCATATGTAAGGTGGTCCAAAAATGTTTTTGAAAAAGTAAAGTCGGTATTTTAATGCTCTCGCCGTCTAGGATTGTTCTAATTCTAAAAATACTTTACCTCTGTTTTTTTTTTAATACACAAAAGATTAGAAGCCGCTCAAGGTTGATATTGATTTTCAAGAATTCCATAACATTTCTACGAAAACTTGTTTTGTCCCATATAAAATACATAGAAAAATTTTAGCACTTTGAGGGACCTCTACATACTTTGTGATTTCAAAATAAAATACAGGAGGGAGCATTAAAATTCCGACTTTTACTTTACTTTTTTTTTACCGCCCTAATGTACGGACATGTTTTCCAGTATGTAATCGTAAATGTCTGTGTCATATTCTATGTAGCTAGTCAGTAGTGGCTTACATTTTTTTTTATCTTTTCGCCAGTCACAAACAAATTTGTTACAATTTTCTTTTAGCTGATGCAAACAATTTATATTTCTATCTTCTCCTTTCTGTCTTCTCCTCTTTTGCTCCGTGTCTCTTTTGTCAACTAAGTTGCTTTCAGCATGGCGCTTTCGCGCCAATCTTACTTTTATATACATATTTTTATTTACCTCTTTTGCTGTTATTACTCATTATTTTGTTGTCTTTATGTTGGCACAAGTGTCTTATTTTTACATACAAACGCACATATCAGGGCTGGACTTGAGGGGCCAGTGGCCACAAATCGGGGGCCCTTACCAGCAATAAAAATTGCAATTATTCAAATTTTTAAAATCGGAAATTAAATTTTCATATAATCTGTGTGCAGAAATAGATAGAAAAAATTTAACTAAAAAATAATGAAAAACGACTTCATCAACCGTTTACAGGATGCACAGAACAGAACAACCTTTTTGAATAAACAAAAGTATATTTCTAAATTTCGGAAAAAAGTGATCCGTATCGCGAATTCTCACCCAATAGGAATAAGAAATATGGAAGGAATATATCCAGTTTATACGTTCCTTGACTTAATTTCCTAATGTTGGACACACTGACAACCAGTTCGCAGAAGTACTTATTACATTTTGAATGATGTGATGACCACCGATATTTCTAACTGTCGAAATCAATTAAATCTTTGATATTTCAAACACATTCATTCTCTGTTTTCATCCCACGCTGTCTACTTTATTAGAATTTAGTTGGACAGACAGGTTTCCACATGCTCTGCTGCGGTACATTTCATTCACAGCTCGACCCAAGATTTCACATGTAAAACTCTTGGCTTCAAGTACGAACATCGCTGGAAAAAGTTTAAGTACAACTCGCAAAAAAAACAAACGTCTCTCCTTTGCGCCCAGCTGAATTATCGAAGCTCCGTGCCAAACTTGAAACTTGTATTACTACGTAAAAAATGGGCCTCCACCAGCACAGATCCGGCCCTGACACATACATAAGTATATTTGCTGAAAATAAGTATAATTCAAAGCTGTTCACTCGCATTCGATCCACATTTCTTCCGGTACTAATGAACTTGTCGTGCAATCTGCGTTTATTTATATAGATATATTTATGTACATTAGAGTGGTCCAAAAATGCATATAAAAAAAGTAAAGTCGAAATTTTTATACTCTCACCCCCTAGGATTGTCCTATACCGAAAAGAATTATATCCCTATTTTTTATTTTGAGATCAAAAAATATTTAGAGGTCGCTCAAAGTGCCCAAAGTTTTCCTTGCATTTGAATCAACATTTTTCTATGGGAAAACTCTATTTATCTGCAAAAGATTCCCAGTAATAACACCCAATTTTTATTCTAAATATGTACGTACATACTATACAATTATACTATATAATAGAGAGAAATATATTCGTTTGAATGTAGATACATAAATATGTACATACGCATAACCAGTATTTACCATGCAGGGAAAGCTACTAGTTGTGAACTAGTATGCTACCAGTTAGCGTTGCAGCCCAACTAGTTCACGTTCTATCCTTTTTCAATGCTAGCGACTCTAGATGTCAAAATTGTCAGGCTATGATGCATCAGCATCTACTAGTAGCATCATACCAGTTGATGAGATATTTAGTCTGCCAATTCATCCCCCGTGCTCGCGGCGCTCCAGCAGTCGCAATGGCCTATAGAGCAAAGCACTCGCATGGCATACCTGAGGTCCCTGGTGTAGAGAAATTTTTTTATTTCATTATTTTTTTTTTATTTAGGGTTTTTATTGTAATTTTTAAATTTAATTTATGGCACCAGTATTTCTTCCCATATGTATGTTTTTTCTGCAATGAGAAATTACATTTTCAAGTTTGTTATTTATATTTAAGTTGAAATAATTATATTGACTTACATTGATTTAATTTGAAAAAGCTTGCCCACCTCTAAGAGGACTCGAACCTGCGATCTCAGAACTAGAACCGGCACTCTTCACGCGACGCCACAGCCGACATTTGTAAGAAAAGGAATTAATTGCGTTTTAAGTATTTTTGTCTTTGGCAATTCAAAGGCAGATGTCGCAGAACGTTTAAGTTCTTCGAAATTATCGAACTGGTAGGGCATCGCTTTAGCACATACTAGTTAATGAACTAGTATTATACTGACTGGTTTGGGTTTTCACTACAGGGTATCAGACGAATTATGTCTTAATAAATGGCCCATCATACCCACATTGGATATTACTTTGAAAATAAATCAGTTAGTTGACAGTCATATAAATTTATTACGGCAATTTTTAGCTTGTTATCAAAATTGTATTACCGAATGTTCGCTATTATACTTTTTTTTGAAAATGTATTGCTTTTATTTACTTCATTTACTTTTACTTAATTTTACTTTTAACTTATTCATAAGTAAAAGTAAGCACTTAAATCGAGGCTCTTTTAACTTTGTAATAAGGTCAAATCCTTTTTTTTTACTTTTTAAGATACTACTTCGAATAAACACTTATCAACACTGAACTGTAAAGTAATAAAAAATTTTCGTATGCATAAAGTTGTGCAATGATATGTTTTATATTCATGCATCTTAATGTTAAAAAAAATATGTCCTTACAAGAAAGTATTTTTGTTTTTAAATAAGTCATATAAATCGATATAGTTAATGAAGTTCACCGAAATAGTATGACTCGTCAGCTTAAATTTGCTCAAAAACTTAACTGTAAAAATCGAACTTTTCACAAAAAGTTTATATTGCATTTATCTCTTGAAAACCATTGCGTGATTTTGTAGGATTTGGGTAAGATCTTTTGAGACACCGCCTACTTGCTTGAATATAAAATGATGAAATACTAGTTATAGCATTATTTATGTAATCTATCGCACCAAGTTTCGTAGAATAAATAATTGTATGCAAATTTTTTTGATTAACTTTTTTCTGAACTACCAAATTCGAATATTTTCTGAACAATTTATATTTTTTTTAATCTTTCAGGCACAATACGCACATCTTTGCTATCCGGTTCAAAGTTTAATGCCACTTGGCACTTAGCATACCCGCATAAGGTGAGTAAAAGCTTATGTATGTTCTTTATTTGAAATCCATGTCATATATATATATATATATACTATACTTGTGATGGTGAAGAAATAAATGATAACGATTAAGACAAAAAAGTTAAGGCAAAACTGAAGAATAGACAAAATTAAAACAATGAGAAAAAATTTGTCATAAAAAATTTAGTTATCGAAAGTTATCAAGTTAATGAAATTTATCGAATCACGAGTTTATACTTATGGAAATTTATCGAGTTATCCATGTTTACTGAGTTGTTGCAACGTATCGAATTATTCACATTGACCAATGTTTATTGAGTTGTCGAAATATCTAGACACAGTAAATTAGTTGTCGAAATTTACGGATAGCTATCGAGCTATGAAAATTTATGGGATCATCGAAATTTGTCAAGTTAATAAAATTTGTAAAGCTAACGCTATTTATTTAATTACCATTATTTGTAGAGTTAACGAAATTTATCGGGTTATCATAATGCATTGAGTTCTTTTAACTTATCGCGTTATCGATATTTATTGATTCGATTAGATTTGTCGATTTATTGAATCGAAGTTTTTGTATAAGTTTTTTCGAGTTACCACTGCTTATCGAATTATATCGTGTTACCAGAGTGTAACGAGTTATCGAAATTTGTCGATTAATAGTTTTTGAGTTATCGAAATTTATCAAGCCTCGAAAAACGTACATATTTAGCTATACAAATTTATCGAAAATTATTAAATTAATCGAGTTATAGAATTTTGTTGAGTCATCGAATTTTAGTGTCTTTGAAATTCATTGAATTATCGATATACGTCAAATTATAGAAATTTACCGACAAACTGGAATGTATCGGGTCAATTCCAGGTCCTGCCAAAGCGCTCCAAAAACCTTCAAAGACGTAAAAAATTATACATTATAAGTTAAACGACGTGCTAAGTTAGAAAACCTCTCCAAGCGTAAAAAAAAAGCAGAAAATTGGACGAATTTCGACAGTAAGGTCGGTGTTAAATGTGCAGAAATTTTGTTTGGCAAACTGCGTGCAATTGTTGTTGCAGCAAACTCGGAGAGAGCGAGTTTCGCGACTCTCACAGCAAACTAATTTTGTTGGGCCAAACTGCTATAAAATCTGTGTTGCCATACACACAATTAATTGCCTACACAAGATAATAAAAAATATTAATTTTGCATCTAAAAATTTTCATTTCGTGTTGGAAATAGCCGCGAAAACCACAATCACCGTGCAACCATGTGCCAAACTCAACATAACCACCTCCGAGCAAACTACGCAGCCGCCATTTAATTTGTCAAACAAAAGTTTGCCTGCATAACAGCGACCTAACAGGCAATCCTAGTATTAATTAAAATACCTACGAACATACTTTATAGCGAAGAAAAGTGGAAAAACAACAACAATAGTTACAAATGGTCGATATTATGGCTGACAGGCTTTTTCATTCGGTTCACTGAGACTTCAATCAGCAACTACGGCGCTCAAAGCCAGTGGTCGTACCCACTAAACTAAGTTCGCCAATGTAAACTGTTTTTGCTATATCCACTTTTTCATTACGGCAACCAAACTATAAACAAGGGCAACGATATTTGTTATTATTTAGGCTTGACCTTGAATTGGTTTTTAGTTAAAATTCTATTTTTAGAATATTTAACTTTATACGAGCGCACGTCCTTAAGTTATTTGTTCTTGCTATTTTTTATTCGGACTAACAAGAACAGACTTCCACAAATTTATTGAGCCTAAGGCTGTTTTTCGGTGAAAAGTTCTGTGGAAATTTTGACGAAAACTTATTGTCATATTTTCAAGGTCACAAGGTTTAAATTGTTTACGTCTATAAAGAAGGACGAAATTCGAATATGTGGCCGCGTGTATCGTAGTCCTTAAGATACAATTGTTTCAAAAATAACTATTGAGAAATTTCAAGGATAAAACTTTAAAAGGCCATTTTCAATACCTACTAGTCTTTAATTCTACAGAATTTTCTCTTTAACTTGATACCTACAGTGTTTTCTCCATTGGACTAAATTTTTTAAATAATTTTTTGAAGTAAAAAAATTTCAAAGTCCTTTTAAAAAATCCCGACGTTAGAGCAAAAAAATTTGAAATGTAGTTTTACTGTAGTATGTGGCCCATAGTTTCGTTAGTTTCAAAATGATTGTATTTATATTATATTTACGTACCTATACTTCCGTTTAGACCCCATGTCTGTTCCCATGTCACGCCTTCAATTACTGGCTTATCAAAATTAGCTTATTAAAACACATTTTTCTAATTTGTTTATTCTTATATTGTTTTAACTAGCTATATATATATATATATACATGCGTACATATATTTAATCGTACAACGTTCAACATGTACCTATACATACATACAATATATACATCTTACATATGCGTGCAGCTTGTGAGTTTTATTTACAACATTATTTGACTAACTATTTCATACATATGTACTTACATATGTACATATATGTATGCTCATATAGATGCGTTATTATTTAATTATTTATTTACAGTCATATTAAAGTGCATTTTATGAATAAGTGGGTGCGTGCCGCTTTGAAGTGTGCTGAAACTTTAGATGACAGTGCATTGCAACGCATTCAATTCCTAAATTCAATTTAACATAAGTACGTATAAGCATAACGTTACTAACTTAATACGCTAACTATGAGAGGGCTTTGGTGATTTAAATTTTAAATTTACTAGTAAATTCAAATAAAATCAACATTTTACATTTGCTTGCCCATTTATGTAAGTATTTTATACTAAGTAAAAATGTTTGTTAGCCTTCTTTGCTCATCACAAATTTTGTATGTTGTAAATTCTTTGGACGTATATTAGTCGCCTAATAATTGCACTCAAACGTTTTTAAT